GTTAATAAGTATTTTTCTTCTAGTTCTAATTGTCTAATAGTATAAATTTCTTAAGAATTTAATCTTTTTTTCTGAAATTCTGTTTCTTTTGCAAATGCAGGTTGTGCAAAGCATTGTATCTAAAATTGTTTTTGTTGTCTATTCTTTTCTTCTTACTATTGTATTAATTGTATATGATCCTGATATAAAGAGAAAAATAATTGATTTAACTATTTATTTTCTTTTTGAAGTTGTAGGATTTGTTGTGTTTGCTAATTTATAATATCTTGTAGTTTAGACTTCTGTTCTAGTTCTTTTCTTTTATGAACTGGTAGATAGCTTTATTTGTTCTTAATAATATTTATTACAAAGACCTTGATTTGGCTCTAGTTTAGAAATATGTTTAGAAACAAACAATCTGAACATAAAGCTACTTTGTCTGCAAAATTAGTATATAAGTTTGCAATAGCTTGTTGATAATCAAAATTAGCATTTGATAGATCAAAAGATTCAGCCAAAATTTGGTTTAGTTGTTGTTCTTTATCAGTAGTTAATTATACTTCATCAATACAAAAAAGAATAGTTAGTTTCTTACTTGTAAATTCTCTATTAAATCTATCTATTTCTTGTTTCTTTTTTGTTTGAGCAATACTCTAAGATGTTAGACTAAGCAAGATTTGAGCTAACAGGTAAATACTATCTTGGTTTATATTATAATAACTTCTAGCACTCTTGTTAGATTCAGTATAATGTTTAATTCTGGTTCACAAGTCATAATTAGGATTATACTTGATATCTTCACTAGCTTTATATATATACATATACTCAAAACTATAGAACCAAGTTCTATTTGGCAAATTATGCATGTTGTGTTTAAGATTTTCTTTTTTGCATACTATGCATTTAATTAAAGTTTTTCTTTCTAATTCTTGTTCATAATAGTAATAGCTTTTGGGGTCTTTTTGATTCAAATCTTTATGATAGTCTTTATAGCATACTTTGCAGACTAAAGTTTCTTCTAGTAGCATTAATTCATTACCAAATTGAGGATACTTGTATTGACAGCAATGATGTTTCCTCTTTTGACTATAAAAATATACTTTTTGGTTAGCAACTTCTTCTTTATTACATCATATTGGTATATTTTATTTTCTTGTTCAAGTTTGTTTCTAGAACAATTAGCACTAATATGCCTTTTATTATTATACTTTTTGTATTTATTTTCTAAACAATCCTTAAATTGATGACTTGATTGACCACAATTAGTATAGGTAATACATTCAGATTTTTGGTAAGGACATTTAACAGCAATATACCCATAATCATTATTTATTATATTAGCAATCTTTAAAGTAATGATTAGTTTGTCCACATATTCTACATCTCTGATTTTTCTTGCAAGAGATTTTTGGTTTTCATTGATATATAGTTTATCTTGAATCTTTAATATTATTATTAGATTCTGCTTTTAAAGTATAAGCTTCATGAGAGATTAATTCTTCATTCTCATATTCTTTTTTCTAGTCATCATTTACTTTACTGATTATGGGTTGTTCTTCCATAGCCTGGTTATACTCATAGATAGTAGATACAATAATATAATGACTATCCCAATATATTATATATTTCTTAGTTTTTTAATCATATTAGGCTTCGACTTTGTAAAACCAATCATTTTCCAAAATAAGAGAGTAAGTAGTTGCTAGTATAATTTCTATAGAAATAGGAATAGTAATTTCTGCAATTTTTACAAAAACATCTTTAATAATATCTAGAGATCTAATTTGTTTTCTAAATGCAAATGAAATCAAACTATTAGAAGGGTGTCTATTTTTAATATAATTTCTTTGGCAGCTTATTAGATAATCATACTAATAGCAGCTCTGCTATTAATAATAGCAATAAATAGGTTTATTATAAATAGTTGTTTAATACTTTATAGAAATAGTTTGTGGTCTATTAGAGTATATTTGATTTACAATATTGGAGTTATCTTGCAGATAATTTGCTAAAGCTTCTCTAATATTAGTATTATTTAAAAGAGTATTCTAATGATTAGTAGAGGTAGTTTCTTTATTATCTGCTAAGTTGATATATTGATGAATAGGAGATCTATAATAGACTTTCTAGTCTTTAAATGATTTTTAGACCTGCTTTTATTATATTAATTATAATTTCTGAATCTGCTTTTATCATAATGATTATAATTTTGAGTATTTCTTCTGTACTTTTTTTGACTTCTAGATAGATTTCTTCTATAATTTTGAGATTTTGATCTGAATCTTCTTTTAAAATCTCTATTTCAACTTAAACAATTTCTTTTTCTGTTAAGTTGACATTGTGTAGCAATATGTTCTAAATTATTATATTGAAAATAATAAATAGTTAGGTTTATGTTTCTATTTCTTTCTTGATCCTGATTGGTTAGATTATAATCACTTTTAATAGTTTAGACTTCTTTCTTGTTATTTTGTTAAACCAAATTAAGATATATATTTTTAAGATTATTAGTTAAATCTTAGATTATGTTCTCTACTTTACTAGTAAATCCAGAAGCTAACATTTTTCTAGTTTTCTATCTTCTGGCTGTTTCAATTGCAATATTTATATTTGCAGATTCAGATGCTTGTATATAAATAGCCAAGTTAGGTTGAAGATCTTAAACAAAAAATTGTTTAATAAAATTTTCTAAAAATCTTTTATTAGAATCAATTCGATTATAAAGCTTTTTAAAGTGATTGATATAGGCATCAACAGAATCTGCTTCTTGCTGAATATCAAAGAGTTGTTTTTGCTATGCAGCTTGTTGAGTAGAAGTGAAAAAGCAAGTTTTAAACATATAATAAAAACTATAAACTTGGGTATTATCAGTTCTAAAGAAGATAGTAGCTTGTATATTATTTAAAGATTGGTACCATTCTTGAGCAATCTCTTTTAGATATACAGAGACAAGCTCCAATTGTTTATCTGCATTCTATCTATTAGTAATAGCAGTATATTCAAATTCTTCTATCTATTTAACAGGATCTTGAGACCCATCTTCTTTAAAGTATTTCAAGATCACTAAAGCTTTTTCACCTCCTCGTTCTAGTACCGTGTATATGTCCGAAAATAAACTACCATTTTTGGGGGTCCCTTAAAGCGGGGCAGATTTCATATAATGATCTATATACTGCATAAATTGTATTCTTGATATATAAATAACTTACTA